TTTTTTGCTTTTCATTTCTTATTTTTCTTGATGCGATGGTTTTTGCTTAGTACTTCTTCGCGTTGTTTTTGCATTCTTGTGCGTAGAGAAAAATTTCCTAATACTCACGTTGCCCTATGCATGGTAGTTACCTTAGCTCATTATCATTTTTCATAAGCACCAATTGCTCATGAAATATCTACTTTTTTATTATAATATTGCCATTATTATTATAATTAATGCAACTACAAGGACTTGCTCTATGGCATTAAGAAGCTAAGGTAAAGTCTGAAATAATAAACAAACTTAAGAGGAAAAATCAATGAAACGTAAGACAGCAGAATATTCGTTAGCTAGAACATACCACAGCCTAGTGGATGTGTGCCCATCCTTCTATCCCGCTGACATTTGATTTCGTGAACACAGACTTGGTAATCGCTGTTCTTACCTGCTCAGCTGTTCACTGTCGCACCGGAATGGCTGTAGTTGGGACTATTCCTCTGAGGATTTTCTTGTGATTGAGAAGGAAAAATCGACGCAATATCACGCTTTTAAACGTTGCTACAATTTCTCTAGAACAAAAACCTGTACAGCAATACGTCCAAACCAAGAGAAAGAGAGAAGAACGCTTCCAATGAAGGCCTTCAGACTCCTTGTTCGCGAACTACTTTCGACTTACTCTGTGCATAGCAAAGTTGTACTAATAATTTACACTGGATTATCAACCCAATCAGTGTCCTTGTGATATTTCATGAGCACAACATTTGAAAAGTTTTTTGTTAAATTGTGGTCCGGTGTCGTTCATTTACGTGCGAGACATAGTGCAAAACGCTCTACTTGGATTTACGCTGGAAATGAAAAACCAAATTTCTGTGTAATAGTTCCATTCGACAATGACTGCGGTTTTGGTTTTGGCTTTGGTTCATGGCATATAACATGCTCCGCTTCTGACGTTTTAAAAGAGCGCAAGGCTTTCAGAAAAATCAAAAATCCTCTCCACGTTATTATAAAGCTCCATAAAAGTAAATATTGAAGTTGTATGTAATATTATCTCACAAACAAGCGAAAAGAAAAAAAAAGATTGTTAAATTGTGTGTTTTCTCTCTATCGCACACAATTAATTGGTATCATAACAAATGAATAAGAGAGAAATTTTCGTTTTTTGTTAACTGATGAGATTACGTGATGGTGATGCAATGCATGATTTCAAGCTATTTTAACCTACTTCAGGCATATATTCGTTTAGATGAATTTAGTTCAAACAGCCTGAAGAGTAGCTAAAAGCTCTACACAAAAATGAAGTGGTAGCGTTAATCGAAACATTATTCTATATACGCGTTGAAAGGACACTTACTCTCAGCAGGGTACTTCGCACAATTGTTCGCTCGTTCCAATTATTTAGAATTGTATGAAATGAGTGTGAAACGAACACAGACAAAACTTTCCCGGGTTGAAAGTTTAAAAACTTTCGAAGTATTTGAAGAAGGAACCTAATGATAATTGTTGGTCCCACTGGTGCCAAATTTGTTCTTCCGTTCGTAACAGCTATGAATTTACATATATATTCTTCTTTTATATACATACATACTAAATAGATAATAATATATATTCTTGAAAATAATAATAGCCCTGATAGTAATCGACTTATCCCCTGTTCCTCAATCTATTCCTCAGCTTTGTCTTGGAGTGTATAAATGAAAATGAAGAAGTGCTTGGGATCTCCCACACAAATTATAGACCAAAGGAGATCATAGGCAGGGCAAGGGGTAGAATAGCCCAGGACACAACATCAGCCCGTTCGGTAAGAAAGTTTCGATCGTCCCTCTCTCTCCTGCGCGTGTATTTCTTCAGTGTAACTATCTGTGTGTGTTTGTTGGCTAAAACTAGTAAGTTTTACAACGACACGTGTTTTTATCTGTTACAACCTCAGAGCATCCGACCGACCTCTTCTTTATATTATTATAATATATTATTCCGTTGCACAAAGATGACTTTGGGATTTTGGCTTGACGATGAAAAATATTACTTTCTGTCATACAAAATCCACATTCTTAGGTAAAGGCTACAAATCAAGCTTAACAGTAATTCGGCAAGTTGCAACCCGGAGCATCTACTGATCTATAACGTACTACCAATAGTTCGTACGACCTTGTAAAGATAAGAAAAATTCGAATCCATCGTGTAAACCTCAGTTGTCTGAAAAGATTCGCGATAGCGAATAACAAGTCGAAAGCGTTTAGTCTCTTGATCTTCTGGAAGCATACGCTACTTAGCTTTTAGTAAGATTTCCATCAACCTACGTTTTGTTTAATTTAATTACATTCACTACGTTCTGCAGCGGGGATTGTAAATTTTCTCAAACAACTTCTTTGAATTTCTGATTAAGGATATCTGCAATCTTTGGCCAGCTTAAGGTTCCCGATATCGTGTAAATGCGATCTCTAATCCTTGCGTTTGGACTTGTAGCTGTCGAGTCGATGTATCGATTAGTGAATTCATAGCAGTCGATAAAATCCGCGTTTTTGTTACTATCGAGTGAAAAGTGCCCCAATCATAAGGTTCGATATTCAAAGGGATAGTAAAGTGCAATATTGTCACGAAATGCACATATTTGATGCAACTGAAAAATATCAAGATAACCGAATCTGATTAAAGATGAAAATGCCAAAGAGTTGCACTATCAAGAATGATTGTCGAATCGACGCCGAGAACCGCAAACCGGCCCCTGATCAGCGTAGCTCATAGTATTACCAACAGTTTACAATCGCCTACATTTACATTACGATAGATATCAATTCCAAGTCGTTATCGTTTGTAAATTTTTCCTAATATTTAATAGTCAGTGCCGGATGTTTAAGCCAGACAATCTTTCAGAATAGATTACTTACTCTCTAAACTGGACGGTTTTCTTGTAGAAATTTTAGCACACAGAGGACACAAAAGGTCAGATAATGTTTTTTTCTTGAATTTAAATTAATTGAAACAGTCATTACGCACGTCTCCATCTTCGTTCTAGAATCTAGGAACCACAATATTTTTTAACTTCACGGCTGTGATTGGTCCAAATCATAACAACAGCAAGCAAATTGCATTACAACCACCGACTGCCTGAGCCCAAAAGAGCCCAGAGATTTTAGATGGTTCTCGCTTCAGTTCGAGTGGCATGTATCTCTACACCGCACTCGAAAAGGAATAATCTTCGGGGCGTTGAGAGTATGTTTTCTCCTTTCTCCCTTCGCATGCTGTAAGGCACCATGGAGTTAAGACTTCACGGCAGTTGCCCACCTAAAGCATCTTGCGGCACATGAGGAAAAGCTCTCGAAGTGATTGACAATTTCGAACCGGATGTTGGACTTTGTGGCGATTGCGTGGTGGATGTGCTTGTCTCTCGAGTCGCATCGTCAACGCTTACTTCACGTAGAACCCACATTCTCAGCCGTTACTCAATTGTTACATTTGCGTTAAAAGAACTAAGCAAGAGTTTCAAGAGCTCTTTGTTTTCTGTTCGCCATAATGAACGCTGCACTAAAGTGAATTTATTGGGCTAACGCTTTTAGTTTTAATTAAATTACTTTTTAACTAACTTAAGTTTACTGCAGAAGACGTTAAAAGCTTTTCTTCAGGCTTTTCCAAATATTCTCGGTTGGAACTTTAATGGATTTTTATTTTTAAACTCGCACATCGTGCAGGCAATCAATCAAACGTACGGGCAACATTTCAAATATGCAAGCAACCCCTTAAATAAAGTTTACAGCCTTTCTGGTAACATGAAAAACATTGTTATGGTAATAAAATTTCAAACTGTTTCGCTTCGGATGAGAAGGTTCCCTGTTCGGAAATTCGCTTTTGAACTTTACCTCCTGATATCCTTTGCTGTCTAGTTTGTGTGATTAAAAGAGAAGAAGGAGAGCTAGGGATAAATAAAACAAATTGTTTGCTTGCGCCCACCGCCACCGTCCTGTTACAGAATAAAAATTTTATATTAGTTACCATGGAGTTTGTGCAAAACAATGTTCAATTTGTACTTCTTTCGCTATTTTCTGTCTGCGTTTTATTCTCTTTGACTTATTTCTTTCAAACGCCGACTTCACCCCAGTAATCATGTAATAGTGAGAGAGCGTAGGAAAGTGAGTTGGGTCTGCTTGGGGAGGCTTTTGTTACTGGTTAATGGCGCTTTTATGGCGCCATTCTATAACCTGACAACATAGCATAACTAATAAACCTCAACGCGTTTTTACAAACAAACATACATATATACATACATACATACATGCATACGTGTATGTATTTATGTAAAGAGAAAGAAAGAGTAAAGGACCTCAAGGTAGTTTGGTGTTGATATTCACGGGAATATTACGCAGACTGCTAGAATAACAAATTGCTTGCTGCGCTGACTCATCATCGTCGAACGCTTACAAATACACTGAGAAACGTTACTCGAGATTAATTCTGTTTTCCTCTTTTTTTTTTTTTATTTTTATTTATTTGTTTGCATTCCTTTGAGTTGCATTGCATGGTGTACCCAGCAGTTTTTGTAAAAAATTTAAAAAAATTTTTGTAAGTTAACAAAAAAATAAGAAAAAAAAGTCTACAAATATTACGAAAAAATAAAAAAAAGGCTTAAAGAAAAACGAGTTAATGTGCATGTGAATGGTAAAAGTGTTTGTATAAACTATTCTCATTTTACACTCTTCTTCTTGTCGGTATATGTTTCATGGAAGCTGTTACACAATCATTTTGCACACATCCTAAGGCATTTGTAGAAAACATGTTCTTTTAAATTAAAGCAAAAAAACAAAGTTTTTTCTTCCTTCAATCTACTCTCTTTTTCCTTGTTTTAATTCTTCTTATCATGTTCTCCATAAATTTTTCTTTTTCTTTTTGTTTTTCTTTTTTTTTTTTTTTTTTTTTTTTTTTTTTGTTAACGCTTCTGATAAATGTCCATACGTGTTATACCACATTCACACACAAATGAATTTAAGTTTTTATTGGAGAAACAAAATTTGCTTGCATGCTCATAGTATTCATTTCAGAGAGCGCGACAAAAGTGGTAAGACACTGAACAACAAGATGCCATCAGCACCATCAGCACACACTGCCGAGGAGGCTCGTTTATTAGGGTAAGATTTCACCTAACCTAACTTTATACCACCAAACAAATGACAACAACAACATTTACATATTAACCCTTTTCTTAACTTGAGTAAAAAGAAAAAAAAAAAAAAAAAAAAAAAAAAGATAAATAAAGAAAAAGTTTGCTTTTTGGGTTATGCTTAAAGTTTTTCATTTATTATATCTTCATCTTCTTCTTCTGCTCTTTTTGTAATACTATTCAATCGATTTTTAGTGAAAAATTTAGAGACATGTTTTATTCCTTTTATTCTTTTTTCCATTTGAATGATAATAAACTCTTTTATTTAAATATCTAGCATTTTCGATACAATTTAGCCTTTTGCCTCTTTATACATATAATATATAATATATTCTTATATATACATATATATATAAATATATATATATATAATACATTTATTTTTTTATAACTAGAAAAATGCATTTTGTTTTTAGACTTCAACTCAGAAATTCAGATCATCATTTAGTCAGTAAGATTAATTCTCTCTCTCACTATCTCTCTCTTTCTCTCTCTCTCTCTCTCTCTCTCTATTTTTTTTGTCTTTTTTTGTTTTTTGTTTCTTTATGAGTTTTTCTTTATCCCCATCTTATCGTTCCCGAACTATCCCAATCTTTTTTTATTAAACAGACGAGAGCCGTCCACAATGCTAAGCCAAGAGTTTAGCAGAAGTCAGACCCTCTTTAAGACTTTTACTAGATTTCTCTTAAAAGAAAGAAAACTAAAAATTGTAAAAATTTATTTTTCTAAAGTATCTTTTAAATTAATTTCATTTTGAATTTTCTCTTCCTTATTTCATTTTCTCGTATTGATCTTTACATTTCTTCTTCATCTTTATACTTTAGCACCATGCCAGTGGATCCTTTAGATGATATTGAACTACGTTCAGTTCAATTGCAATTTCCCAATGCTCGCGGCTCGATTATAGATGCTTGCGATCAGCGCCGCGTAACCACGGATAAAGGTGATATACACGTGGCAATACAAGGCGACACCTCAAAACCAGCCATTTTAACCTATCACGATTTGGGTTTGAATTGTAAGTTTTCCTTTGCCAAAGATTTTTTCACAAACAATCTTTAATTTGCTGAAGAATTTCTCACAATTGTCAAGAAAGTGTTAAAAGGTTTACTTTTGAATTTTGATACTCTGGCGTAAAGCGCAGACTGTAGGGTATTTCCTTTTCTAATAAATCTTCAAAGTGTCTCTTGTATTTTCTCCTTGAGTTCAATGAAAGCACCATCCCTGTTCCAGACGTAAAAAAAAATTCTTGGAAATAATCTTTAACGAAACACTTAATTTCAAGCTATGTAAAAAACAAATGAAAGCACCGTAGTGGAACACTGCCACTGCCATTAAATACCCTACACCACTACTAGTGAGTTATTGATATTGAGTTGTTATTTATACAACGACGTGTGAATTATTAATAAAATGACTTTTGAAAATAACGTGTTATGTGGGAAGTGGTCAAAAAAGCGGTCCGATCCAAATCATTTTCAATGTCGTTCATCCTAGGACCTAAACTCCAATACTCCATGTAGCCAGTTTCATAAAAATGTCTCGAACCTGCGGCCTGCCAGTCCTGAGTACAGGAAAACACGACGAAGGGAAAACTTTAGGTAAATTGCGAAAATAATTTTGATTTGGTCGGTACAGTAAAAGGTGGGTGTACCTTCAAGTCCTTCGGGATGTTGCTATATCCGCACAAATTTAATAAGCTCTCGTGCAGGGTGTGGTAAAAGTATTTAGCAATAACGATGCCACATATATGGATACGAAAGCGAAACTTTTGTATAGAAAATATACAAACCAACGATAAAAAATATATTATTCGAAATATTAGTCTTCGCTAGCTGTGTATTTTTTCCATTCGTCTGACAATGTGTGGCTACCACGACAAAAAAGGCACACATGTCTTTGAGCCATTTGCGTACATCCTCCTAAGAACTTAACCGCATGTGAACGAGTGGTAATCGAAAGGGCTCGAGTTAGACAGGCTGTGTGGAGAAAGCACTACCCACTTGAGTGAGGAGTTGACGTATCGCGAATAGCTTTTCCTTATGGACGGATAGATGTCATATAGAAAAATGATGTAGTGTTGACTTTTCAAATCGATTAATTGTTGTCGGTAGCGGTCTGTATTATCCGTTTCGGCAATCTTTAACATCTAATAACAATCCGCACTCATCTAGTTCCCCCAGACACAGGACATTGTCTTGCTGTCAAAGTGATTGCAGCAGTAGTAATCGATGTGGATGGTACGCTTGGGTTTACACATGAATTTTTGCACTTGATTTTCTCAAAATAAATCATCTTTTCATCCCCAGGTGAGATATGATTCTTTTGCATCATTCCGGCAAAGGAAAAATCTTGCGGGCGAAAAAGTATTTTTGTGTTGTAACGTCTCTTACTGCTTATGGTTGCTTAATACCCAAAGTAAAAAAACCTTTCAGACATGTATGCGTTCTCCACGTGGTGTTAGAGCCATCTGAGAGATTATTCGGTTTTCATATTTACATACGATAGTAATGGTTCTTCACTCCTTCTGGCGCAAGATATTTTGTCAATTGCGGGCAATGGAAACATTTTTATTATTAGTAATATTTGCTACAAGTTGCAAGACCTGCGTCCTTCTTTATTGCAAGCACATTTTTGGCCTAATCACATCTATATTTGCTTTCAAACTTTAGATTGTCCTGATAAATATTTAAATCAACTCTTGCAACTCTTTCGAGTTATTGCGTGTGGCTGGCTATGAGCGTAGCATGTTTACATTTTGGATCTTCTATTTCATATTTTGCAAGCACAAACTATAAATAGCTGTAGCCGACAACAAGGACGAGAAGGATGGGTCCAACTATTGTATCAATTTCATAAATCAAATTCGTTTACAATAACAATTTACTTTCGCATGCATGTAAGCTTGAGTAAAGTCAGGAAGGATTATGTGTACGTTCCATTTAAGACTGGGGGACTTAAAAAACAGCCATTAAACAGCCCTAAGGGCTTTAGCGGAAATCTCCTTACCACTATCAAAGCAGCTTAATAAAACATTTGATCGAAAGATTGAAAGTTTCCAGCAAGAATATTCGATATAAGTATGTATGTCAATATCCACTTGAGTGAAAGTGCGATGGTTTCGTTCGCCAGCAGAAAGCTGGCCATGTCTGCGATTCTATCCGCAGTATAGTTTAGTTTTATAGTCATCACATATCTTGTAGCTCGGTTATAGTTCATGCCCAGAGCATTCGTCAGGCTTTTATTTGATCAGCTTCCATGAATTATTACATATATCAAGAAAGATATCAATACAATCATGCCAACTATGGGTCTTGGCCTTAATGCAAGCATCTATTAATCCTAGCCTATTAAATTGGTAAAATGTCGAGGGATTTTAGACACTTTTTATAATTTAGTTAACTAGAGATAATGCCACCCAGTCTCAAATATTAGTCCATAGCTGCGCAAATTAAATGAACAAAACATGTCTTAAATTCCTGCGTACTGAATACTTTCTAAAATATCAAGATGCAGTTATCCAAAATTCCGCTAAACTGAAGTCATGCTATTGAAGGAAATGGATGAATCAAAAACAAGGATTCTGACGAAGATTCTTACTTAACATGCATTCATTTACGTTCCACAAAAAATGTGTAGATATTACATCATCAGTTATGGTAATTAATCATTTAAGAAAGTTGGTTAATTAAAAGCCTCATGAATATTCTGAGCATGAACTATTTAACTATATTGTGTAAAATATGTAGTAAATATAAACAGTATTGCACATATAACCTTAAGCAAAGGAAGGTTTCTTTCGTGATCGTAATTCATTTGAATGCCGGTACAACTTGTATTAAATTTTCTTAGATAAGTCACGGATACGCGACTCTTTTAAGAAATGATTCAAACTATTTTCGTAGCAAAGGGATTTCCAGCAGAGCACACAAGGCCGATTAAGTAACGATTTCTTTCGTAAAGCAATGGCCTTTGTCTTCTGTTCTGTTGAGCATACGAAACTGTCTTTCTTTCTATCCTCTTTCTTTTACATGCAATTTCTTCTGATCAACACTATGCCTACACACATACCATTTATAGCACGTCCTATGAGTGACTAACAGCTGAATTTTAAAATTTCCTTCAAATCATTTTCTTGGTTAATATAATCTTTAATGAGCCTACGTTAGACGAAAGCGGAATTGAAAAAGCTTTAATGGCTATGAAACCATTGTTTTGTGAGATGGCATTTGATATATTTTATACTCTACGCGGACTTAATCAACATCCAAAATGGGCTTAAAGTAGGCCCATTTTTCAATTATAGAAATCAATTCCAAATCATTTATTGGATTGATATAAACTTGTCATTCCGTCTATCTAAATGATGTCTTTCCTCCGCGTTTTGTACTGAACCATGAGCTCATAATTCGTTCAGAGTTCAAAATCTTTTTATGAAATTTGGAATAGTGACGTCGTATCGCTCCAGAGCGAACTCTTGTAAGAGTTACATTTTTGATTACTTTCGGACCGTTTTCCGGAAAAAGGATTCTATTTTGATGGAATGTGCAAAATTTATGTAGGATAAGACTACTTTTCGAGCTCTTTCTTATAGAGGAGTAGATGAGACACATGGCTACCAAGTCGGTGTACGCGGGCTCATACGGTAACTCAGTTTGACCAAGCGGTTACCCGCTCGTAGCTTCATTGAGTGCTCAATCAGTAAAACGCATAACCCTTACCGATTGACTGCCCATCCACTAAACACCTACCACTTCCTATCTGCTTCTCTTTTCTCAGTTCTTTCTGATCATCACCCGGTTAGGCGAATAACTGAAATCCTCTGAGTGATTGGCCATATTAAAAAAGAAATGATCAGTTACTTCTTCCTCGTCGTGTTATACGTGTAGAGAACATCCCCGAGTGATTGTTTACCATATTAAAAAACAAAGCAAAAAAATATAAATGTTCTTATGAAAAGTAAACCTTTAGATGGGAAAGAAATCTAATTTTTAATATTCTATAGTAAAAATTGGTTCAGAATAGTATTTCCACACATAAATTCACTGGGCTAAGTTTGAACTACGTTACATGCATTTTTTGGATCCCAGGTCATGGAACATTTCTCAGCAAGAGTAGATCTTTATACAGTAAAAAGAAGGCGCATTGTTTGTTATTTTATGACGAAGAAAAGTGAGGAATCGTATCAAGCGAAGCGGTATGCGGTGTTTAACAATTGTGACTTTCCCGATCAATTGTCCCATTTTGACATATACTTAACAGAAAAATTTACTGATTTTCGTGGCTTAGACAGTATGGAGAGGAACTTAAAACTCAGAATACTCGAGAACTGAGATGATGTACCTTATACATCATAATGTAGGTTTTAACTAGTGCTCAGTAACAAGTACATTTACACTGGTAGTGTCCTGGACACCTCGTAATCTTTGTCGACATAAAAAGTATTGAATGGACAGGCGCCGATAAGCAAAACACTAGTCCACTACGGAAACGACTAGACGAATACAATATAAAAAATCGTGTATCTCAACTACATTTGGAGGAATTTTTTCGCTACCAGTGCTTTACCAGCGTTTTACATGCAATATCTAGATATGTGCATTATATATTTATATACTATATGTACGAACACATGTTCATTTTACGAAACTTCACAGACACTAAACTATTCCTTTATTATATTGGGCTAAAATTTCATAAAATAAAACAAAAAAAAGTTGCAATTTCCATTGCTTCGTTTGATAAAATTTTTTTTTTTTCCAAATTTTAAAATATATTAGCAAAAAACTTTCATTATAATATTTATATACATGTAATCTGTCGTCTCGCGGCATTCTTTGTTACTGAAAATTTCCGAATACGATAGGTAAATGGGCCAGGGTCCCCACTTCGGTTAACTATCAAATTTGCTTTCGAATTGCTCCCAGCGTTCTTGTCACAGACATATTTAATACCATGAATACATTTTCAAAGGAAGTGATTATTATCTGTAAAGGTCTTAAAATTAGTTTATGAACACCTTGATACGCGACCTTTCAAATAGAGTGTTATTCGATTTTGTTTTTGAACCTACTCCAGTGGGTATAATAGATTTGCAAATATTTATGGCGTATGAAAAAATGTCTCGGCGATCTTATAGAATACACACATTCTTAACAGCATATTCTGAAACGAGCATATTGTAACCGGTTACCGGTTACCAGCCATAAAAAAAAGCGAGATGATTTTTTTTTTATAATTGTTTAAACCAATTTTGATATTTCGAAGGAATAGCCATTAAATGTAGCTCCGACGTCGCTTTTATTATAAAACAACATTGTTAACTGCGGCAAACCACATAGAACGTGATGCACCTTTGATGTTGCTCAACATCAACAACGAAATTGATTTGTAAATGTCTTTCCATCAATCTGTCAGTCAATAAAAGCGCAACTACATTCAAACTCGTTTTCATGCGCTCTTTTCTTGTACGTTTTTAGGCGGTCCCTATTTAAGAAATGCTTTTTAATTTCGTTGAGAAAAATTTGTTTTGTGCGACCGCATAAGCGGTTTTTTTCTGTGCGTCCCTATTCACCGGACAAAAACAGATTTGGGTATATAACTTTAAAATTTTGTTTAGAAAACGATCTTCATATCGAATTTTCTTTTTATCACCCCCGTGTTAGTCTAAAATTCAAAAGTCTGTAAAATCTTAGCATGACTCTGTCTACAATTACCGTTGAACCATTACCATTAAATTGATTATAATGATTATTTTCCATTTTGTTATTAATAAACGTCTAGATTAAATTTTGAAATCAACTAAGCGGGACCAAATATTCATTCTCTTTGATCCCGTATAGTCCAATTAAGTGCTATTAAAACGATCTAAAAGATTGATTTCAAATAAGATACGGTATACGATATGTACAATTCATTAAGTTAAGGATGTGTGGGCTGATTTACTAGGGACCGTACGTAGAAATAGCGGTTTTGACTCTGTTAGAAGAGTTACAATGCAAAGTAGCGTCAAACAATTGATCGAAGTTAAGTTCGCCGTGCTACGATATGCTCAATACGCCATACGTTCTATATATCTAATGAATACTACCTCATCTTGTAGTGGAATGGTCACGTATAAGCCAAAGAATTTTATTAAAAATGTCGACCTAAACTGAATAAATTCGTTCTTGATGAATGAACAGATTTTCTCATATGTTATATATGTAACAAGATTTCTTAGCAATTATTATTGCAGCTAAGCTTCCAAGCAAATGAAAAATTAAAATTGTAAAAGCAAAAAATTTGTTGCAAAAAGTAATCGGATCGCAACCCCAAGAGAATCCTTAATGTATTTTATAATCATTTTTAGATGCCACCAGTTTCGCTGGCTTTTTCAATTTCCCATTAATGCGTGGTTTGTTGGAGAATTTTTGTGTTTATCATGTCACCGCTCCGGGCCAAGAAGAGGGCGCTCCCACTTTACCAGAAGAGTAAGTTCTCATTCTTGATCAATCGCTTATTCGACATACGATATGATATTTATTCAAAATTCTTTTTAGTTACATTTATCCCACCATGGATGAATTGGCCAATCAATTACAATTCGTTTTATCGCATTTTGGCTTAAAGTCGATTATAGGTTTTGGCATTGGGGCTGGCGCCAATATCTTAGCTCGTTTCGCTTTGGCTCATCCCGACAAAGTCGGAGCGATGTGTCTCATTAATTGTGTGTCAACACAATCCGGTTGGATTGAATGGGGTTATCAGAGTTTTAATGCTCGTTTCTTACGTACCAAAGGCATGACTCAGGGTGTCATCGATTATTTGATGTGGCATCACTTTGGACGCAATCCCGAAGAGCGCAATCATGATTTGGTTCAAGTGTATAAACAGCATTTTGAACGTGGTGTTAATCCTACCAATTTAGCCATGTTAATAAATTCGTATATACATCGTAACGACTTGAATATAGCACGCACACCTACTGGTACCCCCGGCACTGAAACGTCGGCTAGCACTTTGAAAATGCCCATCATGAATATAACGGGGGCATTATCGCCTCACGTTGACGATACGGTAACGTTTAATGGCCGTTTAGATCCTACTAATTCAACTTGGATGAAGGTTAGGCGAATATATTTTTCGCATAGATATTAAAAAACACGTATTGGTATCCTTTTTGATTTACTAATTGCCTTATCGTTTAGATATCGGATTGTGCTATGGTTTTAGAGGAACAGCCAGCTAAATTGGCCGAAGCTTTTAGGCTTTTCTTGCAAGGCGAAGGCTACGGTAAGTATCTCATTTATAACATCCGCCAACTGTAGTTTCTCATATATATCGTTAAAACAATAACTCGCCCGCTATTTATTAAATTCCAACCACACACTAAACAAGTAAAACACATCAACAAATTCACACCCAACAACCAAGAAAAAAAAAAAAAAAAACAAAAATTCGTCCAAAATTCAGTATTTAATTAAATAGAAAGTTCTTTGATTTTCTTTCATTCATTAGTTGTCGTTCATTTTTGTTTTTCATTTTGTTCTTTTTTTCTCAAGTTTCTCAATAACGTCTTCTCATCTCTTTTTATACACTTTTCCCACTCTCTCTCTCTCTCTCTCTCCCACTTTTTCTCTGTTTTTCTATTTCTTAGATACAAACTCTTTTGATTTGTATGATACCTTTAAGTTTTAGGTTTCGAAAGCATTAGTTTTTTAATTTTATGCGAGGCTTTCTTTTTAGAAGCCAGTACTTGCATGGCAAAAATGATAGCAATTCCGAGAATAAGTAGTTTGCGTTGATCAGTTTTTCTTTTTGCGATTTTTCCTGTTTGCTTTACTATGTTTACAACAAATGTAAAAAATTTAAAATTTATTGTAAAAATTTTTTCCTAAGAACAAGTTTATTACAATTTTCATTTAAATCGATTTGATTTACTAAATAATTTTTTTTAATACAAGTTTTTCTTAAAAGGTTTTCGTTACAATGTCAACGATATAAGCTTTTCAGATTAACATATGAACTGTTTAGGTACTACTTACTTACTTTTGCTTTAGAACGCTTAGCTAAATCAGGATAAGCAGTTCCACAAAGCGTATAAGTTTCATACTAGAGGCAAGTCGAATCCGCAATAAAATAATCATTCTTCATTTACACTTAAGTTAAAACAAATGGGAACACAATAGGCCACCAAAGGCCGCCGTAAAATAACCTACGTCATCCTACAGTTATTCATATAATGACTTTTTAAAACAAAGTGATATGGGAAGCGGCAGAAAAAGTGGTTGGACCCGAACCCGGAGACAGACAGACGGTCAGATAAGGTTGTAAATAAATGCAATAAAAGGTGGATGTATCTCACGTCCTTCTGGATATTGCCTATATCCGCACCCTTGCGCCAAAATTGGTGTAGGGTACTGATAAAGGCAGCAGTGGCTATTGGTGAATTTATTTATTTGTTTTTTTTTTGTTAAGAAAACCAGAATTTTCTTGACCTTACTTTTACTTATTGTTGTTTTAAAAGTGGAGAAATATGTTTTGCGAAAGTGGAGCGAAGTTGAAAATGCTGTTCCTTCGAATTCATTTATAGCTTATCTGTCAACATCCACTGGTCGCATTAATAGATTTGATAACTTTTTACCTTGTCGGTCACAATTGTATTCCCCTCATCCAAGCTAATCCATTGCTCATAAACGAACACGAACATTACGTTCCGTCCTGGCTTTTTTGCCAATCCGCTTACTCATGTGCCTTACTCTTGTAATCGTTGTCAAGAATTTCTCGTTAAACGCCTTTATTTCATAGGCACTGCAAATAAAAGAATCAAAAATTAAAACCTATTTTCGGAAATTTTTTCCTCAAGAAATGTTAGATAGTTTCTATGTTCCTTCCTTTTATCAGATACGTGATTTTCGTAACAATGTTGTTGGCGCTATTTCTGTTTTAAACACAACCGGAAAAGAATGAAATATCGAGGGTCTATCATATTTGATCGACATGGACAATTTCCTCCCTTTTGGTCTACACACTGTATAAAATTATCTTATTGCTGTAGTTCATGGTAATAAGCAGAAAAGTTATTTTTTATACCCCCCAACTGCACTGTTTGCGATACAAAGGTATATTAAGCTTGTGAGAATGTAAATATGACATTGATCAAGAATACATATACTCTAGCGTGTCTCTGAAGCGTTCCTGGTGTTGCAAACTTTTTGACAAAATGAATGGTGGATGCGAAGTAACAATCAAAACTTTTTCTTTTGCGACCATGTCCGGAATCGACATTTTAAAGCAAAAAAAACGAAGCTTATGAACTCATTATCCCTATGCAGTAGTGGTCACTAGTGCATGCTCTAGTGTTAAAATCGCTAACTGCCAAAATCACAAGTACAATAGTCATCAATGCAGAAAATATCATATAACGGTTCAAAGAGGTGTATCCAAGCGTATGCTGACAATGTTGACATTTATAGTCGTACTTGTCGTAGTAGTTGATGAATAGTAATATAAACGTTCCTCGATGCGTTCTTAGACATTATGATGCAAAACTTTTGTATTTTGCGACAATTTTCCAATACCTTGAGAGCGAGTATGTTCTTAGCAAAGTAGAGAATAGTGAAAAACAAAATAAGTAGCCCTACGACAGCGTTCTATAGACGAAAACACACCGCTATTAGGATAAATAACTCGCAAAAGAAGTAAGATATGCGACTGCAACTGTTCAGCAGTAAGTAAGTGACTCTTTAAAACTATTTTCATAGCATCATATAAATATGCTTTAAAAGTTTGAATTGGTTTTGCTTCCCTAGAGTTACGAATGTTTTAGAGGGCATTTATCGAAAATTAGTTAAATAAATCAATTTTGCCTCTTCCAGTGTATTTTTAGTTTTGTTTTTTATGTTCGTTTGTTTGTATGTCATTCAGTGATTTTAATTCTGTGTACACCCGGACATATATTCTCGGCCGATGTGAGATTTTGGATCGAACCAAACAGCTGCACTATTTATTTGGTTTTGGAATGCTTGAGAGGGCGCAGCGTTTAAGCTACAAAGTTAAGATTTTTGATACGTATTGCCGGTAAGATAGAAGCATGCTTATGCTGTTTGAAAATAGAAATACTTTTGGAAAAAAGCCGACTCTGACTGATAGGTGGTCATTGTTGGTTTGAAAGCACAGACTGACTGCTCCGCGTTTCGAGTATCATGATAATAATTAAAGCGCCATTTAGATGGAAGCAAGTTCTAAGGAAAAGTGGTAATGTCTCTACTATTGAAAAATATTCATATTATGACTTTGGCATATGATGATTGATGTCTACACGGATTCCGTTACTCATGTCAAGTAAGAATAACCACACTTGGCCGAAACTGCGGGGTGCATTTCTATGCATTAGAAATATATGGCAAATCTATTATAATATTTTCGTTGCTGGATTTTACAGGGGGGTTGGTTGCGGTCAACGCAGTGATATCCTTCAAGCTTGGCTCATACTTCATCCTATTTGAATTACCACATTTCGTATCATGATATTTTTTATTTATTTACTTATTTACACACAAGTCAGCTAAATTGAATTGACAGCCGAATTCATTGGACTCTTAAAAGTAAATCTTATACTAATTACTACGACAAACTAAGATAAAGTATGCAGGGATAAATAAAGAAAAAAAAGCGGAAGACTAAAATTCATGTATAAATAAATAAATAAGAGAAAAAAAAGCATGTACACATCTAGCACAGAAGTACACCCACAACCAGTGCATATCCGTGTTGCGAGTGAACCCCTAAGCCGTGGCAAATATGCAAAGGCTTGATAACAGTAAACAGTCATCAGTTAATTTTCGAATCACAGTAAGATGTCAAGATTGCAAGTTAGTTTAAATAGGACATAGGCAAATCGCGTGTATTAAGGATAGTCGTTTTGATAGAATTTAAAGAGTGCGATATTGAGATTAAGTGCTAGACAGCATTTAGGTTTCTCGACAGATTGAAAAGCTCGTAATTATATTTACACTGACTAAACTTTATGAAGATAAAGAGAAGATAAAAGAAGCGATTCGGAACATCAAAGTTTATCTGACCAAGTAATGTGGGCGAATCGATGGTGCCGTTTATTAAGTTAACTAAGAAACAAGCTCCAAGAACAAATCTACGTTTCTTAAGTAACGATAAGGCAGAGCGGCAAGCAGGTGCCAACCCAAATTTCTAAGGATAAATAGCAAAAACTGCTTTTCAGCGGATTCTATTGAATCTGCATAACATCTATAGGAAGGAGACCACACATCAGATGTATACTCGAATATCCTTTCTATTCTGACTGAGCTCATGTACACCCTTTATGTGAAGTAAAGGGTGTTACGCTCTTTGGACCACCGTTTAGTGAAACCAAGCCTCAACCTAGCTTTGCTTAAGGGGAGGTCAATGTGCAAATTGAAACGTAGTCTTTGGTCGAATAGAAGCCCCAAATCTACGTTTTCCCACTTTTACGAATCGATGTAACAAATGAATTCCTCCTTGAGGAAGAGAGCTTCTTGCATTTCTTTAGATTTAGTTTCGATAAATTTAATGAGCATCATGTAACCAAAATATTTAAGTCAATCTGAAGCTGATACAAATGCGATTCCGAGCATAAGGAAGAAAACAGTTTAGCATCATTAGCGTTCATTAAAATATGGGTGGATTTATCCAGCCAGTGACACGACCAGCGAATCTAGTGAAAAGAAAGTTTCATAAAATATTTGCCCCCACATTTCTCATGCATTTAAACGAGCATGCTGTTGTTGTAAGCATGGAATTCTTTTCGATTTTTTAATTTATTTCATTTTCTTTTTTTGCTGGAATTCAAAAGTTTCTTTTGCTGTTTGTTGTCAACTTCTTTTCAAATTCACACACTATTAGTATTTTTTTAATAAAAAAAAAAAAAAAAAAAAAAAACAAATGATTAAAATAACAGTAGAAATGAAAAAAAATTACAAATTTTACATTAATTTGGATCAACCCAAAAATTTGTGTATTTCTTTTCTTTTTTTCTTCTCCACCAAAATATAAAAAAAAACTCAACCAAAAAAACATTCCCCATATATCTTACATATGTACACTCAACCTGCATCGATGTCACAAAAAAAAAAAAAAAAACAATAAATAAATAAATAAAAATAAAAAACATAATATTAACGCTTAATTTTTAATATAATTTGCGATGGCTTCTCATCTTGTTTCCATTTTACGTTTTTTCTGTTCTTTAAATCAACAACAAATTTTTGGTATATACTATATAAAATAATTTTTCTTTTATTTTCTTTCGTTACTTTCTTTTGCTTAAAAAATGTTCATCATTACCACACAAAATAATAATAATAATAACGTACGTACTTACTACTATTACTAAAAAAAAAAAAAACCAACAACAAAAAACCCAATCGGTAATGTTTTTAATAAAACACATTTTAATAAAATTCAATAATGTATTGTGGTATGTATATAAAAAATATATATATATATATATTTAAAAATATTAAATTTTTTTTTAACTTATTTTATACCTGTTTTTTTTGTTTTCTTCAGAAAAATCCCAATAAGTTTTTGAACAGATAATGACTAGAAAAGAAAACCAGAATAAAAGCAAAAAAAAAAAAGAGCTTTCAAAACCTTTTACCAGCCAGTCAGTAGCAGCCCATCGAACTTTACCTGCACTACTAAGAAAATATACCTTAGTTTTATATTCTTAGTGTAGCAAAAGAAATTCAAACATTTTTTTCAATTCTAAATATAGATCAAGGATTAGATTTAACATAAACGCATTTTGTTAGTTTAGCGGCAAAGGTCCTGAATGTCCTAGAAAATGCTTGACGATTGACTTGTTCTTGATTTAGTCCGTACACATTTTACTTGGTAGTTGAACATCCCAAGCATCGCCGAGTCTGGAGTACACTAACATCGCGTATTCGTTAATAAGAAGGAATTTATGTATATGTAAATAAGAAATGCTTGTCTTGTCTAAGAGGAATTTTTATTGCGCATCGGCGTTAAACTTTGACACTAGAATTGTAAAATTGTTTATTCAACGCGGACTTGTCTATCTGACCATTCATATGAGTAGCACAAACTTTGATATATGGTGAAATAAAGCTAACTGAGAGAAAATGTAGTTTCTCCCTTTTAGTTCACTCCACTCTTTGGTAGGGGATGTGAAAATAAACCGATAATTTAGCCTCATCACTGCGATCAAAATTGTCTGGTTTCGCTGCCGAAGAGACATGTCAGTAAGTGCCGCTCTTGCGAAATTGCAGTTCTTCCGCGAAGCTGTAAATAAATTCGCCATCGGTCGGATATCATTCTTTAAGCAACAATTACAACTCGATGACGTAGCGTTAATTAAGCATCAAACAACACAGAAGCCCTTCATCCAAACGAGTGTCTTATCACCTTAGGGCCCTTGAATATATACCTGACGTTTGTTCGATTATATTTTTTCTATTACTCAGCACAATCTTATCAATTATTGCAATCTTATACGTAGCCTAATTTATTGCTTTTCGTAAAATAAGTCCACTTACTCTTCGAAAGCAACTTTTAATTGATAAATTCGCGTTGCCGTCAATAATGTCGCGTACCGTTAAAATAACTGTTTTCTTCTCTGGATATCTCTGCCTAGTTGACGTGTTACCGTCATAAAATTGTTAGACTCTCTGTAAGTTTTACGCGAAAAGCGCAAGTGTTCTCTCTTATTGAGACAATCATGAATTACACAATAAATATAAACTGAGACTAGTACACAAAGTGACCATGAACGCGGACAATTAAGCAAGAGTAGCTGAATAGGCAAGAATCAGTGTACCACCTTTAATTTGGCCGTAGCTAAAGTGAGTGTGCAGCACAACACGTACCGATCGGGAACACAGCCATAACGCTGCGGACGGCTTTATGTGTTTCCCTTTATTCACTTTTCTCTGACCGTCGCCGTGTCACGCGTATAGGATACATACTTTCAGTGATTGGTCATATAAAAAAAGATCTGTCGCAGCTTAGTTATAAGATCAAGTGATCAACATAACGGCATGACTTCATGAACATGATGAACGATTATCGCTTTTATTCATGCGAGGGTACGAACACAAAATTTTCCCCTATTTATTTTTCTCAAGCATGTTCCCTATTCGTGTAATATGATGACGTTCGGATAGAAGTGGCCGCAGCCAACTAGATGTGCCCCATCGGTACCGACCGAACAATCACTAAAATTGCGACCAAAGTAAACTCTACCGCATTGAGATTTGAACTCGCAAACAGAGGCTTAGTAATCGCGATTCTTATCTACCCGGCTACACTCACTCACTTTTGTGTTTTATAATTAGAATCAAAGAAGGCACTTCGCAAAGGAACAGTAACACGAAGAACGTTAGTTTTCAGGAACGTCACAGCACGCGGCAAGTTATAAATTTTCATAAAAATAAGATAAAGATAAATGTATATGTGAGCGGATGTGATTGAAACGGTGTGTGCTACATTATAGTAAACTTAGACATTTGCCTACAAAATTAGACATGAGGTCTATATTTTCAATTCTGAAAAAGAAGCACCTTCCGTTGGAAGGGAATCCGAATTTATCTCGGCTGATAACGGATTTCAAGTCTTGCCATTCAGAACATAAAGCTTTTGGTAGCTTCGTTTAATCCTTGAATTTCGATTATCTGTTAATTACTTCAAAAATGTTGACTTTCTTTTGCAAACCAAAGCAATTTCCCCCTCTGCACTTAGTTGTAAGTCTTTTTCACTAACCTTACAATTTTTACTAATTTATTAATCCGTTTATAAATTTAATTTAATTTGCATTTAAACCAAAACAAAAAAAAACTTTCTTTTCAAATGTTTTTCTTTTTTTTTTGCGTTATAAAAATTTATTTTCAAAATGATTTTGTTTTCTTTTTCTCTTATAATTTTTCTGGAAAAATTTAAAAAAAAAAAAAAAAAAAAAAAAAAAAAACAACAACAACAAATATTGCATAAAATAAAAACAAAACAAAGCCGTGGGTGTTCTCCAAAAGTTGGGACGCAAATTTTCAACGGCCAGCCAGAGTAATTCATCATCACATGCGGAAGTGACGCTGCAATAGAGGAGATGAAGGCACACAAAAAATTTAACTCATATATTCTAATGAAATACTTTCTTTAACTCACGTACATCATAAATTCACAGAGGGAAGGAGGGAAGGCCAAAAGCCAGGAAATACATACATACAACGGCGTTGAAATTATAAAAAAAAAAAAAACACATGAAACTTTATTAAATATTAAGAAAATTCTTAAGTAAAATGGAAATTTTGTTGTTAAAATCTACAAAAAAAAAACTAAGTTTTCAGTTTATTTTTATATATAATTTAAAAAAACAAATGAGAAAAAGCTTTTTTTCAATTATAATTTTTTTTCCTTTATTTAATTTTTATTTATTTTTAATTTTATTTTAAAAAGAAATTACGTTTAAAATAGTTTTGTTAAAACTAAAAACAAAATAATAAGAAAATTGTTGTTCACACTTTCTCGGTATGTTTGTATATGTATTTGTTAAGCACGAGCTTTTTTGATAGGCCATTATTTGTTTTTTGTTTAACATTTTGTTTTATTGTTAAGAAAAACAAAAAAATCATTTTTCTTTAATTGTTAACACAAATTTAATGCATTTTCAGTATGAAAACGAAAACAAAAACGAAACGAAAAATAAAAAAAAAAATAAAAAAATCTAGCTCTGTATACATACTGCATAATTTCGTTACTAATACATTTACATTAAAAGAAAAATAAAACATTAAAAAAAATTGTTTAAAAAATTTCAAAATATTCTAAAACATTAAAAATAAAGTGGTTTTCTTTCTTCTTCGACAACATGGACTGAGACTGAAGCACTCGCGTCGAATATCTTGAAAAATCAAAATCGCTTTTCATATCATTTTATCGTAATTTTTTTTTTTTTGTGTAAATTTTTTTTTAAGCATTTATCATAATCACTCTTTAGTTCCTTATTATAAAAAATCATAAATATTTATATTTTGTTTAATATAAAAGTCACAAACACACACATACACACACCCACCACATTTTTCCCACAAACATGAAACACAAACTAATTATTTAAAAAAAAAGAAAAAACAAAGAATTAAACAAATTTCAAACTCAACACGAAACTTCATCAACAAAAGAAAAACAAGATCAAGTATCGTAAATAACCAACTGCCAAACTTCAATCCTCTTAAAAAAAAAAAATAAAAAAAAAAAAACAAACAAAAAATTCATCATAAACTTCATCTATTGGTGTGGACGCTGATTTGATGAATTGGTCCGATTCGGTCCGGTGCCGCGTTACCGTTTTTTTGCTTAATCGATAGCTACGCCTCTGTCAACTCCGGCCTCATCGCCTTGCGGCACCAAATACTTGTCATATTCGAATATATTTTTTGCTAACTTCAAAGAAGAACAGGAACGTGCCATTGCCGAGAAATTGAAACAAAAATCACAACAACCACAACAGCAACAACCTGCTCGTGTACGCACCAATACTCGACTATGCCGTGAAACAGCTATAACCAATAATAATTGCGATTTCACCAACATATTGCAGCACACAAAAAATCAATCAGCGTTCGAGGAGAAAGACGAAGAGAACGAAGACGAGAATCTTAATTCGAATGGTAACTTTCACGTACAGATTAACGAAACTGCCACAATAATGCAGCGCAATGATAAGAACGGTATTAACAACGAACACGATGATGACGATGATGACGATATAGAACTGCAACAGAATAATCAAACCTCCTCGTTATTGGAGCGTCATCATACCGTCAATGGTACTTTGTATACGAATGGTTCGAAGCAATCCAAGAAAATACGCATTACCGAGAATCCACTGCCCGAAACGGTTACCTGTTAAATTGTGATCCCAAGTCGTCTTTATGCAAAACAACATTCCAATTGAGATAACATCAACAAGAACCACAACAAAAAGAAATTATATTATTATTATTTTAATTTCCTATTATCATTTTCCGTCTCCTCTTACACTTACATGCATACATACGATTTATCCTTCTTAACCTTAATCTTTAACTCTTAATAGATAAGAAGCGGCTTTTTTGAAAATGTAGTGAACTGAAAATTAAAAAAAACTAAATAAATAATTAAATAAAACAAAAACAATATACGAAAATATTCCAATTCTTAAAAGATCTTAAAAGAAACAGAACAAAGAATAACAACAGCTTTTTGTAGTAATTAGTGAAAAATTAAAAGAAAAATAAATATTTTCATAAAAATTATGTTAATTTAGAAATTAGAAAATAAAATCGAGAAGAAAAATCTTTTAGGAATATGTTAAAACTTTCTTCAGAATCCTCTTCAAAAAGATTCATTAAAAAGGTTTCTTTGCAGTATCGCCAAGGGTTGAGAAGGGGAACGCTCCTTTCTGTACTCGTACACAACGCTCGTAAGAAGCACTCTTTTGTGCGCTTTATATAATACATATATTATATTCCACTTAGCAGCGATTTGGAAAGCGAAGCCAAAAGCAGTAACTATAAAGCAATATATATCTTTATAATAAATTCGGATTCATCTGTTATAGGAAGGCATTGAAGAGGTTTTTCTTTTAGCAGGAAGCTCCTAGCAGCCAATAAAATATTTCTTAAATAGTGTCGTCGCATGAATACGCCGTATAAATTCATTCTTATGAGAAAAATCTCTTAGTTATTCTACCTTTCTTGATTGGGTATAGTCAGCAGTTCCAATGTAGAGACAACTTCACTGCGCGTGTAAGATACGTAAATAAAATTCGCTACAGATTTCTGGCCCATTCATTCTGGCTGAATCAACGTTAGTTTATTTCAACTAAACGTACATACAATAAATGAATGATATTTGTGTATGGTTTTTGGACTCGTAAAGCCCATGCAAATATCTCGGTCACTGTAAGCACGCAATGAACAAATGACAGTTTAAGTGCGGTTTTTGATCTCCTGAAGGCTCGCATTTTTTTTCTTTCATAAGCGAAGTTTGTAGCCATAAGGCCAAGAAACTGTGCGGTCCGTAATGATATCGGCTTATCGATAAAACACAGATTACTTTCCACGCAATTGTGGCTCTTGTTGAGTAGTTGACCGTGTACTCAGATTTAGTACTATTTTCATAAAATTGGTGTCTTATAGCCATTCTAGCGATTCGCTTCGGAAGGCCGTTGGATGTGAAAAAAAAAATTGGAAATCTGGGAAAAAAGGAGTTATTGCCATAAAAACTTTAATAATCTAATCAGACAGAAGGAATTTTTAGTAGACGATGTCAAAACATCTGCTTACAGCTTCAATCTTAATCTCTTGTAAGTAGAGGAGATGTACGAGAACTACTAAAGTTTAATTGGTCTCCAATGTTATTAAAATTTACCATAAACAGGTAGGCCTTCATTTCCCTTAGATAATTTACAGACTTGCCATAGTTAACATGTTGAGTTGTATCACAAGGCTGGAAAAATACCTAGAAAAACGTGTAGAAATTTATTATAGATAACGGCTAACTCATGTTTGAATCCCCATTGTTTCATTGTGAATGGCTTATCGAAGTGCTGTTAGTATTTCCAATCTTTCTCTATAACAGCAATAGATTTGAAAATTGGCGTTGCAGACCTGGGCTTTAACACCATTGACCGCAACAAAAAAACAAAATTCGTATGGAATTAATTATTAACATATTCCTAAATATGAAAGCAAAATAAACAAAAAAAAAAAAAACGAAAAAATTCTTTTTTCTCTTCATACGTTCCAAAAAAAGCGACTATTGTTGATCGTAGTTAGCATTGATTCGGTAGAAAAATCAATTAAAAAAAAAAAAAAAAAAAAAAAAAAAATAGGAAAAATTTCAAATATGATTTCAAAAGGAGAATAATTTATAACGTAATCAAAAATAAATTATTATTTGCAATAAAATTAAATACAAAAAAAAAAAAAAAATTATGTAGTGAATGCCGCCATTGAATTAATTTATTTTACACCAGGATTGTTAAGAAAGAAATCAATGAACACAGTTACAAAAATAGAAAGCGTACTAACGTTATGTTAAATATAAGTTAATAACAGTTTCATTTTTATCACTTTGTGCCTGAAATTAAATGAAAAATAATAACAAAAAGAAGTGAAGAACAAATTACAAAATAATAATATTATGTTTTTACTCGTTTATTAACTTGATCGTTTATTTTTCTTTTGTTATCAATTCTACAATAAAAGCGAGCTTTTCTAATTTATTTGAAAAAATATATATATATAAAAATAAAAAAAAAACGAAATGAAAAACCAAACGAAGAAATGCTTATAAACACAATAATAATGACACAACAAATAATATAATTAACGACCTAACTTAAAAAAGACAACAACAACTTTCAGCAATAAAAGAAGAGAACAGCCCATCAAAGCTTAAAAGCTTTAATAAACTTAACGATCATTGGAGCTAGGTTTTCATTTTAATAAGTAATAACATTGACGGACACGAAAAATAAGAAACAGAATTTCAAAGATATTTCAAAAGACCAAACTACTTTAACATACAAGGAAGAAACTATGTTCGTTGCACAGGACAGCTTGTAAAGAGTCAACAATGATAATAAAACTTGAGAAACTTTTGAAACTTTTTGTTCAAAAATTAAGAAGAAAAACCGTAACAACACCGAGTAAATTTTGTATAAACTCATTTTTGCATTTGAAGTGAAAATGTTTTAGGAAAAATAAGAAGGATTGTTACTTCCTCGCTTTTCATTCGATATTAACAAAAATGCATGCTTGATCGGCAGCTGTACATACTCTACTCGGTACACCGAGGCCATTGCGCGCATCTGTCGAGCCTACTCGGTCGACCAGACTCGATGCCGAGAACCATAAACCGATTCCTTTTTATATGGGAATAGTTTTTTTCTGAATAAGATGCCGATCGTTTCCTTCAAATTCTAGTAAATGATTTGAAAGAGAGATGGAAAGCATATTCAAGTTCGTCTCGCCACCGGTGTCTTTGCCAATATGCAAAGCCCGTAGACCCCTGCAGCATTGTTTACATTACTATGTATGTAGAGTCCTCGGACTGGATCTGAGCAATAATGATTTAGTCATAGGACTTGATTGGCTATCGATATGGGGCGGGATAAATCGGCGCACAATCTGAAAGAGTAGGCTTTCAAAAGTGTAATTAGCTCATAAAGCATATTTCGAATTATTTCCAGATTTCAAATTTCCTCGTTAAATTTTGTGCTCCGCGTGCAAATACAACGAGTCAAGACAGCTACCGACACGCCACTTAAACCGCGAAGACCCAGACAGCATCGCTTACTTACTAAAGGTACTCGTAAGGCATCTGAGTAATAGTGATAGTTTGGTTAAAACTTGACCGTCTGTCGTTCCCGTCAAATTTCAATAAATGTTTGAAAGAAACATGAGAAGTACATTGAGATAAGCCAAGCACAATCTATTTTATTTTCCGGTAGACAGAGTTAAAACGGCGTACAATCCTAAGGATTGGGTTCTCAAGCTTGAACAAAACTAGAGGATAGTGAAAACCGCAAACGACTTTTTATGACAAACGTGAAATGGGGTCTTAAAAACTTTATCAAATCATTTCTAGATTTCAAATTTAACTGTTAAGTAACTATTAAGGTAATTACTATTCACAATTATTGTGGATAAGAGTCGCGTTTGTTAATTCACCGCTCTTCGGTTCAAATCTGAGTGCGGTTTTGACCGTACTGGTGGTAATTATATAATGAGTGTTTCGTCGGTAAACTGATCGATAGATGCGCCCACTAGACTGAGGCCACCACTTTTCGCTCTCTATCTCTCACGTCTTTCTCTTTCCTTATTTTTTCCTGACAGTCACTGTGTTATACGACCAGTGGATATCCCTAGTGGTTGGTCATATAAAAAACATGCAAAAGTCTTCTAGTGCGACACGGTCCACCGTGAAATACCCTACCCCACTTCGCAACATACACTTATTCAATTGACGACTTCTCAAAACAAGCCGTTAGAAGCCATGGGAGGTGGTCGCAAAAGACGTCCGATCTGAAGCATTTTCAATAGCATTTGTCCTTGAACGAAAACCCATCGGCAAAACTGAAACTTTCACCTTAGTTTAGCTTATACTTAACGACCCTAAATGATGGATCAATAATACAAGAGAATTGAAGTTGGTGAGTACTTGCACACCAAGTTACACGCCAAGGCGAACGTAATTTTTTTCACTGCACTATTTCTCCTTTATTAGTGAAAGTTGTTAGAAAAAAAATCTTCTACGGAACCATTGACACATAGCATATCAAACATATTTATTTAATATGATAAAAAAAGTTAAAAAAGAAAACAACAAATATATATCAAATAAGATTTATTTTTGAATGATTTTAATTTATTTTCTTTTTTAATTTTAAAAACAATGCATTTTTTTATAATTTTAATAATATTTTTATAACAATCGAAAGAAAAAATGTGGAAAAAGATGATATTTAAAATCAAGTTACACCTGCTTAATGTTAAAATAAATATTAAATACTGTTAATTAAAATACAAAAAAAAAAAACGAAGAAAATATCAACACAATAACAAGTTACATATAGAGGAGAGAGCAAGCGAGAGAGAAGAGAGAAAAATTATTGCTTTTGTAAACCCACAAAGAAAACAAAAAAAACTTATAAAAACATAAATAATTGTGCATTCAGAAAATTTCAAGTCCATGTCATTCAACGACAACTACGACAAATTGGTTAATATTAAATATTAAAGATAATGAAAATGATAAAACATAAAACCAAAAAAGATTAACTGAAACAAAAACAAATAAATTAATTTCCAACGGCTTAAACGATTTTTTTGATGTTTTTTTGATGATATATATATAATATATATATATATAATAGTAAGGTCCAAAATGGTTTGCTGAACTAAATCAAGGCTTTCCGCAATCTCTGATATGGTCGAAACAAAACTTTGGTCTAACATGATTCTGACAATATCGTCGATGATCGGAGATGATCTCCTAGGGCGAGGCTTATCGAAAAGGTCACACCCTCAATAAATTTCTACACGCTACTATAGCATTCCTTCCTATCTTGACGGAATTCGTCCTAAACACATTCCGCTTAAGTTCATTTGCTACGGCAGTATGTCCTCATTCAAAGATAAAAAGAGGGAGCCAAATATGCATCAAATAAATATCCGCATACTTGTTGGGACTTGTTGCAACTGAATCGGTAGATCTACCTACAGGTAAGCTTTGAACATTCATTATGTGTTTTTCCATGCTACTCAAAGTCCTTGTTATATATATTTCGGCAAGGACTCATAATGAATTTTCATGTTTCATATAATTTAACTGAGTTTAAGTATTTGCTTTGGTAAGTAAAAACTACTGGCTTACAAACGAAGTACAATCAATGGAGTAGATCTTTGAAATGGCAACCAAAAGTTAAAATTTTTAAAGAATGCTATTAAAATTTCGCAAATTTTATTAGATATACACAAGAAATGCAAATACAACATAAATTTTGTTGTGATGCAATTTTACACTCTTCAAAGCTCACAAAATTGAAAAATATTTCTTTAGTTTATCATATTGGCAGTGTTTACGCTGCTGCATACACATGGCACCAGAAGTCACTCAGACGTGTGAATAACCATTCAGAGTAGTGTAAAGTGCCCGAATTTTTGATAATAGTTCAAGAGCGATTTAAATGTGCTTCAACGACGACGGCGACTTAATTCATTGTCCACTTAATGTGCCTTGTTATAACTTTTAACACTATTTCAATAACTAAGAGAGAGTTATATTATATTATCACATATCTCTTATCGTCTCGGTCCTTATGGCAAAGAAAAAAAATGGAATATAGGTAGACGGACAGACAGACATTTACAACTCGATTGAAAAATTGATCAGGATTCGTAGAAACTCCTTCCTCCGATGTCTTTTGAACATTTTGATAAAACATACCGCGCTTCAGATATTTTGCAACTCAATGAAATCGCACGTTCTACATGTTTTCCATAGGTGTCTTGTTGCTGAAGGAAACGATCGTAATCTTGACTAATTTATGGCTAATATGTGCGTGTACTGTTACGTGATTAGAGTTGGAAATTTCGTAGATGGACACATCAACGAAGGGGGAGCGCACTATATTCTATCTTTGTCAAGAGATGAAAAGATGGCTGACTCCAAACTTTTATGTACCCGTCAAACCTGCAAGCTAGTGGCAAATTGCTGACAACGCAGTTGCAAAACCTTTTTTTCTCTTCCCCTATTGTCTATTTTAGAGCACTTCATTTAATAGTATTGTTTATCGTAGCATAACCAAAATGTCACGTATTTTAACATTGTCGGCAAAATGTAAAATTGTTCATCATGCTTGTTAACTTATTGTAGACGGTATAAAATATGAAATAAAACGGTAATATAAGGCTTTCAATCCTATTAGCACGCGAAACGAAAAAATCAAGTAAGTGATAATAGTCGTTGAACACTTTATATATTACACAAAATGGTAATTTGTAACTCATTGTGCCGATAGCTTGAGTATAAAATGTCTTGAGACCCTATCAGGGATATGAATATCAATATGTTGTAATAAAGCCCCTTATATAATAAATTCTCCTTCATTAGCTTAAATATGAACGCTGCAGTCAATATCTCATGACTTTTTTGCGTCAAGGTTGGGTAAATCAATGAGTTTCAATCTATTATCGTACTGTGGAAGAGGTAAGACTCCAAGGTTCCAAAGCCACGCAAGGCAAATAACAAGAAGTGGTTGGCCGATATATCCATTTCTATTGCTTCAAAGAAAAAATTAATTTTTTTTTTTTTTGATCATAAATTTTTATTATTTCTTGGTTTTTCTATATTCACAGGTTATTTAGTTGAAAATGAGGTAGATAAACTAAACTGTGGCGAAAAATTTAATCCTGGCAATATAGTTCTTAGGACGTCGGTAACTCCTCTAAACAGAGGATTCGTTTGTAAAGTACTCAGCAGAGATCTGAGTATATCTCTAATCGCCAGTCCACAACTACGTAGTTGCGATGGTAACGGTCGCACCTCGAGGGCATTTGGTCGCCTTTGTGCGGACGAAAGAATGACCAAACAGGCCAGTGGAAGAATTATAGCAAAGATGGTTGTGAAGAATTTCATTATAAAAGTCTCTTTCTTTTACTTGCTTGGATTGAAACTTGATCTAACTCTAAATTACTGCATGATCGCTAAGAGGTTTTTATAAGATGTCGTTGCCGAAAGGTATGAATGTAACTTAATTAACTATCGCAACGCGATTAATTAGTAATTTCAATATTTATTTTAATTTAGTAGATTTTTTTCATACACAACTTCCTTTCGCATATAACAAAATGAAAGAGTAATTAAAGAAAAACTTAATCAAATTTTTTCTCCAGATCTTTGTTTCTTTCATTAGTTGACGATCTTGTAGGTAGAACAGTACATACACAATAATATACCTTTTTAAAGCTAACGTAAGTTCTACTGTGGTGGTGATATTACTCTTTCAAGTCTTCAGTCAAGCCTCCACGAAATCCTTCACCCAATTAATCCCATAAGCTAGGATTCGGATAAACGGAAACTACCACTATGTTGAAAAATATGACAACAACAAAAAAGGCAACAATTTTATAAAAGTTCATTTCGCGGAACACAACTATTTTTTTATGTAAATTATTTAACAGTTAATTATGCACTATTTTTATAGTTTCGATGGTTATGGTTCTAGTTTCATATTAACTGAGTAATTATTCGAGCTTCAGTTGATTCAGAAAAGCTATTTACCTTGTATATATTTGATCAGATGGTAACGTTGCATAATTTATTTGCTCAAGGGGTGTTAAGGAAATATTTTTGCAACTGCAAGATTACCTTAGTTAGTAGAAAGTGTATCTGTTTCGGTATTTCTTTTGCTGGACTCACAAACACGCTTTAAATATACCTTAAATCTTGATCAGCAATATAGGTATGTTTGCCCATCCGTGTGTGTGACTTCCACGTCTTTTTAAAAAATTCACAATTCTAATCCCTATTTAACTTTACATTGTTCTCATTAAGCATTTTTCATCTTTCACCTTGAGGCTTATTACTATAATTGTACCTACGATAGACAGTTGAAAAGCTGCAAAATTGGTTCTTTCTTGCTCGTTGCTAATAAACTAAAACAAGTACAAACGATAAAAAGTTGCCTATACGTGTTCTGTATATAATTCCAGAGTGTACGGACGAAGATGGGAAAGATTGACCACGCCTACGTTATATTAAGCAATATGAAAATTTCAATTTTTCGGTTCATTTTGTCAAAACATTTGCCACACATAGAAGGAAGCTTTCAATCAAACAGAAAATTCTGAATCTATTTAAGCTTGTCGATTTATCCCTCTGGGTGGTGCATCTCATCAACATTACTCTGGTCGCGAAAGCGAAAATGGTGATGATGCTTCAAATTTCGCTTAAGCGTTGGAGGTTTTTGTACACAGATTGGTATGAAAAATGATCCAAATCGGTCAAAGAACCCACTCACAGCCCACAGCGCATTGGAAAGTGAGAAAACTTTGCAACGATAAAATTTTTATTTACTGCAAAGATGGTGGGCCACAGCCTTCATATATTACGGATCATACAAATTGCATTCTTTTTTTTATGCTCCTTTTAGAGAGAAAGCGATAGTTATAAAAGATTCAGGAAATCGTTCACTAATAAGAAAGAAGAAGCCGACTTGGTACAGGTTTTTTAATGTGCGCTACGGATACATACGGCGTGCCATGGGAGGCGAAGATTCTTCGATCAGCATTCAGTATTTAAATAATAACTAGGCGGTACACCATATATCATTGAAGTATCGCGTAAACTCGGTTTAAATGCACAGCTTTATTTATGTGTTATTTCTTGGCAATTTCGGATAATATCACGGTCCGAGTTAGGAATTGGATTGAAAATTCAATCGCTCTTTTGTATCGCTCAACTTCTATACCATACAACACATCTTACATATATTTTGAAATCATATAACTTGTGGGAATTGTAAAAGAAGGCCCCTGGCGATGTCGAGACGATTTAGTCGTTACTACGAAAATCTCACATAAATCAACTGATGACCTATGCTCTGGATACGGGAAAGCTATTGAAAATTTCAATTTGCTAGTTCTTGAATCGCGTTCGAACACAATATTGAAGAAATCTATGTATGAAATGCTAGCACACTCAAAGTATTTACAGGTTTTGCCACCTCGAGGGTGCATCCGTAGCATCGGTACAAGAGTTTTGTGAACACAATTCGAAAAATCACTTTGTTGTCGGCATTGAACACAAGTTAGGTTATACTGAATAATAAAAGCAACTTCAAGAAAATCCATACTTTGTTTTATTTATGAGCCGAAACGAATTGGCCGACTGATGGTATGCTTTACCCACCTGACGAAAGGAACATGCCTCATACCTACGGAGGAATGAGAGCGATTAATAAGAAAAATTTTTGAGGAGGTTGAGTGTACCTAAGAGAGATGACGCTTCGTTTGGTGACTGAAGCGCGTTGACCGCCCCTCCTTGGGGAAAATATATTGAGAAAAACATTCAAATACAGCATCAAAGTATGAAAAAAGTTCGCTGATCCCTACGATGTTATCTCCTAAAAGGGAATAATTCAAGCACGCTGTCTGCGAGAAGGTGCCCTACACGGGAACCAAATTTCTTTTTTTTTATCTTACTTACTCATTATCGGTCACTATGTTATAACTGTAAAATTATTTGCTTAGTGACTTTCTGTTCTTTTATTCAAGGCTACAGAAACTTATGTAAATTTTTTTTAAATTGTATAGAAAGTTATTTGAAAAAGTTAAACGATCGATTATCAATGTGATGATCTTTACTTAGGCGTGCTCTTTTGTTATGTAATTGTTTAATATAGAAATTTATCGCCTATAAATACGGTAAGTGCAATATCTGAAACGTTAAAGTTGCTCGTAAAGGTGAATTGTGTTAAGTAAAGAAAAAATTAATCGAAATGAAATATTCGTTAATATTCATTCTAACACTGGCTTGCCTGGTTGCCAGCTCTTTAGCAAGACCTGAAGGAGAAAAGAAACCAGCTGACGATGCTGCAGGCGAAAAGAAAGAAGAAGGCGGCGAAGGAGACAAAGCAGCTGCTGGCGGCGGTGGAGGAGCCAAGGGAAGTGACGGAAAGAATGCCGATGGGGCAGGAAATCCTATGAAAATGTTTCAAGATATAGTTAAAAAAGTAACTGAGGCAGTCAACCCTCTTAAGATGGCTGAAGGATTCCTTGGAGGTGGAGATTCCGGTGGATCTAGCGGAATTCTCGGTTAAGAAAGATAAAAAGCTTGTTACCTTTCTTGCTGAAAATCAAAAAATATAGATTGATTATATTGCAATTGGACCCCTTCTTTTATCCTTTTTAATATTGGAGAATTTGTGTAGAATGTTCTTGGCGTGCATGAGGACAAGGCTAAAATAATTCAATAGTTCACTTGCGAAGAAAATATGTAGTTTTCCGAATAGTATTTCAATGGCCTGTAAATAAAGTCACAAGTGATTTTTTTAAGGTTTCAAAACATGTTGTAAGTAAAAAGCAATAGCAAAGAACAATTCGACGATTAACTTGCATAAGAGAAGTGTGTTCTTAATTTCTTTGCAATCGAGCAATTATTTGAGAGATGTCCTCAGAACTTTTTATGCCTTTGAGATCTGCACGGTGGCCATAAGGTACTGATATGCGATTGGCTTAGATAAAGATCTGTTGACGATTTTGAATTTGATGTTTAAAGCTCGAATGAAAGCATATAATAATTCGAATACCAATTAGTATAAAAGGAAGATTCTAAAAAAAGTAGTAATAAAAGCAGTCGAGCAGGAGTACTTGATAACCCGGAATATGTTTCCATAAAACCAGAAACTATTCTCTAAGCATCAGTTGTGGTATGTTATTAAGCGGACGCATGTAACGCCCACACGGGCTTAAGATAACTCCACGTGTTATAACACCAATCGATTCAGAATCATTTTCTACGCTTCTGTGCCCTGTCCACGAATTTTTGTACAACTTACAATGTCTGGCGAAATTTGGTGCACTGATGTACTTTGGCCCAAGAACTGACGGTACTGAAAATGGTTTGGATCTGTTCACTGTTTCGCTCATACAATGCCTTATATTGTATGGTCGTTATATGGAAAAAATTGGTAATTTTAAAAAACTGGACTGGTAATAGTAGCTTGACATTATACATTGATAAGAAGAATTTGGTTCGGCTTGAGCAATTTTTGAAAACTAGAAAAAAATATAATTTTTAATATTTCATGAAAGCTTGTTCGCAATAGTAAATTGACACGTGAGTCAACCTTACTGACCGCGTCGGTCTATTTCTTGAATCCCACTTCATATAAAATTTCTCATGATAAGCAACCCCCGAAAAAAATTTAATATTTAATATTACCTGATGAAAATCAGTTCACAGTAACAATGTAGCAAATAACTTAACAGTAGCGAATTTGGATGGGACAGGTCTATTTATTGGACCCCAAAAATTTTTAAAGGTTATCATGAAAAGCAAGCCCTTACATAGGGAGAAAATCTAATTTCTATTTTTTTACGACGGAAAGAGAAATATAGTAAAATTGTCGGATCACGCCATCCGATGCTTTGGATACCCGGCAGTATGCGGACTTTAATGGGAAAAATACCTTTGCATGAATGGTGTATTGAATATAATTTTTGGTGTATTGTTACTAAAACGAGTGAATGACTGTACTAGGCGAAGCGGTGTTGGGTATACAATGGTCGCCGATGGGTCGTTCGACTACGATGCTCTTACTTATTAAATCAATTCTCAAACAACCATACTTCGGTAAATAAATATAAAAATTTCACATCTCCTTATAAGCAATCAAACAAAATAAAATATTTATTTATTGTTTTTTAATAATTGTTTGTGGGAGAATAATTTGACGATGATTATCTTTTGAACGGGCAGGACATTGAGAATCTACTAAAAAGAGAAGTGTTGCCCATTTTTCTGGGTATTCTGGAGACATGCATGAGTCGAATTAGCTGATAGCCGAACGAAAAAAAGCTTTCGGATTATATTTATATAGCAAAAGAAACTTCTTATCGTTTATATATAACGATAAGAGCTTTCGGCCTCGTAGGGTGTAACTAGCACTGGCATTGTATCAACAAATGAAGCGAAGAATTTTAGAAATTTTCTTAAAATTAAGGAATACGCATTTTCTGACCCTGTATGCACCGTGGAGTCAAGTATATCCAAGACAAATATTCACATTAAAGTTTAGAAAGTACTTAGGCCTGCACGAATATTATCTTTGCGCACTTTGTAATGTTCCTTATAACCACAAGGTAGAACGCTAGCTTGTTTCCAACAGAGATCGCATGCAAAGTCCAAGAACACTATTAGTATCGCTCACTTTCTGCCGCTGTAGTGTGGACCAGTATATAAAAGTCAGCAGAGCTGTATGGGTGTCCAAGCGTTAAAATTTTAGAGCAGTGCGGTCGTAGCCAGAGTGGGTGTAGATTCGGCAAAGACATACCACTTAACGATTGGGCACTCACTAAACTGCGCCACGTGAAGGTTGGCACTATGTGAAAATTATATGGATTCGTCAACAGTCATTCTACATCTATATGTCGATCCATGGCCTTATTGAGTGATTTGTCATTTTCTTACTTGTTTAGCTCAGATATTTATGCAACTTTCTAAATAATTCGCACAAACAGGTGTCAAAGTATTTAATTAATCTATTGTAAGCATTTCGTTAATTACACTCCAGAAAAGTTACGTAATTTTATTTATAAAAAACGAATATATGAAAATATTGCTCTACTATCTGTTCAGTGCATTGTTTCGCCTTTCGCGAGTCGTAAGAAAATGAAATATTTTTTTATTTTCTATCTAACGCTTACTTGCCTGGTTGCAAACTCTTTGGCAAGGCCAGAAGGAGACGAGAGACCTTCGGTTATTCCTACTGACGAAAAGCAAACACAAGGAGCAAGTGATGAAACGTCAGATGAGAACGATGGAAATACCAATGCACAAGGAGATAGCAATTGTAGACTTCTGGCTTTCTTCCAACACATAAAACAGTTTCTGGATAGCTTGAATCCGTTTAAAAAGCTATTTGGATCTGGTGCTTCCGTTCCACAACTTCCTAATTTGTCTACAACGCCTAGTCTTCCTGACATGCCGATAAAGCCAGAGGCAATACTTCAAAATCCTTCTGTACCTTCTTTGCCTAATATTCCCAAACCGTCACTAAGCTTATCTTAATATTTGAAACTTTCCCCTCCATAGAAAGACTAGAAAATAGAAATTTCCTCCTAACTTTGTTTTCTCAATAAAATGTATGTAAAATTTTGCCTTCGTCTTTGACTTCGTCTTAGATGAAAAACTCATACCTCCAATCTCTTATGCCAACGATGCTCATTTAATCATAAATAGTCATTTTTTAGCCTTTTTTTAATCCATATTGTATCTGTTTGTAATGAACTATAGGTAATCCAATTAAGTCATGAGTCCAGGTACTTTGGCACTAAAATGAAACTTTTTGTGTACTATAATCTTCATATTCGGATGAAAATACTTTTGTAGTTGAATTCATTGAATAAATGAAATGAAACTAAATGTGTGTCATTGGAAGGTAAGGCACCGACCATATCAAATAATAATATGTACGACAAATTTCACCCTTTTGTCTTTACTTCTTTATTCATGTTTCTTCCTTTATTTCTATGAGAAGACCGCACCGAAAGCAATAACACACAAACAGATATAAGAAACAACGGATATGATGAAAACGAGTTAAAGCTTTGTGCTCACGAGCAATATAACACATTGGTCAATCACTTCTTTGCCTGATGTATAGATATAGTCTCTAATAAAAAATCCCTATAATTTTTAGCCAGCTTCAAGCCTCAAGCGATGACTGACAAAATTTCATTTTATATTGTTACGATAGTCGCAGAGATTTTAGTTACGCCACTTTTGTTGTTTCGAAAACAATGAAAACATCGTAATTGTAATTCATGGAAAATATAGCTTCTTGACGATGGAAAACTCAAAGTTAGCTTGAAAAGTGTTGTGTTAAAATTTTCTCCTTCGAGAACCAGAAAACATCAGAAAAATATTCTTGATAAGCAACAAGAATCGAAATGCAAGAGATGGACGACATCCAGACGAGATGAAAACCCAAGGCTTAAAAATGTGGGCGCGAGACAGCTATTTACCAAATGGGTACCGCACTGCATCGTTGCGGGAAAAATGCAGTCTCTCACAGCTTGCGTGTCGATCTTGCTCCATTAGTTGCAAAATTTCATCGACTTTTTCAGCGACCGGTCGATCAGAGCAAGGTACAGCTTTGACAACGAAATTTCCGGAACGAGCAAATCACTACGAGCAAAAAATACATGTATTTTGGTGTTCTTGTTAAGATCACCAGGCAGCGGATAGATGAATGGTAAGGCAAACTGTCTTTGCTAAATTGATTTAGAATATGATTAAAACTAAGGATATATACGATTGAAGAATAACTTATGTACATTTTAGACATTGTTAAGAACAGACATTGACAAGATGAGAATGATGATATTGACACACTCTTCCTTTTCATCGTTTTTCGGTGTTGATTATCATCATGATATTCTCATTCAATTCTTGTAACCGTTTCATCGCTTTTTAGACATAAGAAGACTTTGGGAATAACATTTATTGTTAACATACTCTTTGTAATGTTCAACAAAAGTTACTTTTCTGCTTAATTACCCTTCAAGATATTTCAAATTGGAATCGAACTCGATTGCGTGTCTACAAGTTCACGCTTTTGCCACCGAGTATATTAAGTTTATGCGGGTATATGTGCGGTAGTCAGAAAAGGTTATAGATAGCCTTACATTATATTATTATATATTGACCGACTTGGAAATAGTTGGCGAGTCGAATGAAACTCCCCTCTACGTCAGTCTGCAAATATGTTTTTGCGCTTAATTCGAACAGATTGACTCTTGAAAACGAATCGATCCTAACGACTTTTACTATTATTTGTTCTATGTTCTCTGCTAAATAATTAAAGCAAAGAAACTTTAAGTCTTATCTCGCCTGCAGTCTTAACATGCTCACTTAAATCCCTTAAAAAATTACCTTTACGATAGTACGTTTGCGAATAGTCAAGTAACGCTCTAGGAGCGGGATTTGATAGAGGGATAAAATGATGAAGTCATTACGGAAACAAATTTTCTAGATGGAATTCGAAAATTCCCTGAGAGGAGTAGGAAAAAATAATACTAATACTGTGAATAAAATGTGTACCAATTGCCTCGAATAAAGCTTCAAACTTACAAACATACGGACAATATGGAAACATTTTTGTTAGCATTTTAAAAATTTATTGTCTGTGCTTTGATTTGATCTATTCAACGCTTTTCAAACTTTGTCTATCCTTGTATCGAACCTTTTTCTCTCATAGTAAATGCTATAATCAAAGAAAAAAGAACTCATTTTCTACGGCATAATTTGTTTAGTTTTTTTTTATTTCAATCTCTTTATTTTCTGTCTCTCTTGCAAACACATTTTCCAAAAATTCTAAAAGAGAGAATTTGTTGATATTGTTCATTCAGTTATGCATATGGCTCTCACTTCTTGTTGTTGTTTTTGTTAACAAAATATGAGTTTTGATGAAATTTGAATCAAGCAAGCATCAGAGAAACGCAATTTCATACTCAGCAAAACTAAAAAAGCATTCGGGGGACTCGGGGGCATCCATAAGAAATGTACAGGGAAGTAAATATTACTCTGAAAAATAGAATTTTTTTCTCAGCAAAGCAAAAAAAAAAAACTGGAAAATAATTTCAAACTGATTTTTAAATTTAAAGTTTTTGTTTTTGAATTGAGAAGTAAAAACATATTGTATTATATTTTAATTTTGTCACTTAATCGCTTATTAAAAGAAAAAAATTTACATTAAGAAGTAATAGGAAACCTCCAATAACACAAACGAGTCAAGTTAATAATTTTAAATTTCAATAATATTACCATAGAACTAGGAAAAATTATTCAATTATAAATAGTATTAATACTTAATTATAAATAGTAATCTTCTTAATCTTCATCTCTCATTCCTGAAATAATTTAAAAAAAAAAATTTATATAAACAACTAATCGAAAAGAATGAGCTAATTCACCAGATCCTAATAAAATTCTAATTAATATTATCGAAAATATAACTATAAAAACTAATTTAATAAAGCGATTAACTTTTCGATCTTTTATTATATATTCTCACTATAATAAACTACTAAAGAAGAAATTATTAATACAGAATGCATAAAAATTAAATACAATGCCTATGCAAACACAGTTCAGTTCAGCTCAGTTGCTTCGGTTGCTTATGCAGGCACAACGTAACAAAGTAATAATTCGCACAAAGATTGATCCTTTTTAAATGTTGTGATTGCAGTGAATTAAGCTGACTAGATTGCCACTTCATTGTAATTTTAGAACAAAAACAACAAGTTCAACAACCCTCTCAACTCTCTCAGCATTTATTTTAGCCCCTGCATAAAGAATGTACAGCAAGGTCAATTTTATTTGAAGTCAATTTAGTTGAATTTATTTCTCAGCAAATTCAAAAAATTTCAAACTGTTTTGGAATATAACATTTTCCCCTTTTTTTAAATAAAATTATTATATTTTACATATAAAAAATAAAAACATATTTCTTACTACTGACTTTTTTAAAATCGTTTACATATATGCATTTTACCCTATTTTTGATAATTAAGCATTAAAATATAAATTATGTCTTAAGTGTTTCATATTAAATAAAATGAAATGAGCGAAAACAAATAATTGTAAACAACAGATGGCGTTAAGCATTAACGTGATTTTACAAGTGTATCGTGAGAACTGTCCTTTAATACAATTCGATAAAATGTTAGAGTTGCCAGCGCTAATCAAAAACTCAGGGAACGATTGATATAGAATTTTAATATAGTTTATTATCATCTATCTGCCGCATTTGAATAAAGATCAATTTTAAAGCGGACTTAAAGCGGAACGGATGTGCGAACGGTCGGCCAGCGGTTTACGGGTGTTTATACTGCCGTTTTGTAAAAGAGAAAACTATTCAACGCAATGTTACGTTACTGTGTGTTTGAAAAGTTAGCAAATAATAATTATTGAAATTTAATTTATGAGAGCAAAAAAATTCTTTAATATAAACTTTAAAATTTTTTAACAGTTTCGAAAGAGAGAATTATTGACATTATTCACTTAGTGATGCTCTCACTTCTTATTGTTGTTTTTGCTAACAAAATATGAGCTTTGATGTTCTTCGCGCTAGAAACTTGGATCAATTTTAAAGCGGATTTAATGCGCGACGGATGTACGAGCGATCGCCTAGCAGTTTACGTGTGTCTACGCTGCCGTTTTATGAAAGCAAAAACTATTCAATGCAATTTTCGTTATTGTGTGTTTAAAAAGTTAAATTAAAAAAAAATTAAATAATTATTGAAATTTAATTCATGAAAATAAACAAATTCTTTAATATAAACTTTGAAAATTCCTGAGGGATTTTTTTTCTTATGCACATATAAATGCATACGTAGCGTTGATGTGAATAAGAGACTCGCAATGATTGTTTATTTACAAAAATACTCAAATATAGTTTGTGATTAGAAATGGCTGAGTTGACAGAAACGCTACACAAACTCGGATAATTAATGAAAAAACAAAACTGGTGGTTGCGTTGTCCTATTGTTAGTGTAAGTTGAAATGCTTTAAATTTTGTTAAATATTTTAAAAACATTTGCATATATAAAATAATTGAAACGAATCTTCCAAACAAAAGTTGATCATAAAAAAAAAAAAAATTATTAATAATAACAATAAAAAAAAAAATTCCCAGAAAAATTCATTTCTTTTTTTTCTACTTAAAACAAGTGCCAGTGTGTTATGTTTGTACAAGCAACAACAAAAACCAGTTATTTAAATTTTATTTGTTAGATAGCAAACAAAACAACATCAGCCAACAACATCTATGTGAATTCGAAACTTTGTATCCCAGACTTTTTAAGGTGTATGTGTGGCGGCTGCGTGCATATACAAGCGAATTTACAACTCTTGTGATATGCGAATGTTTATCCAGTCAAACACGAAATTGAACTAAAATTCATTGATAAAATGTACGGGACGCAGCAATATCTTTAAGAAAATTTTGTTAACAATTTTGCTTATTTTTTCTCGCTCGGAGGAACTTTTTAACCTACAAACATTTTCTCTAATCAATATTTATTAAAATGGTTTGATGCAAAAAAAAAATAAATAAATAAAATCTCTAAAACATTTAACAACGCAAACGCAATGCCCGTTTTTAACATTATTTGTGCGCCTATTGTTCACCAACATCAACGTAAGCGAATCGAAATGTTACGCTACATTGCCTACGGCCTAAGAAGATACGTAACGCTTCAGTGATTATTGTCAAGAAATCAAAACAATTGAGAAAAAAAAAAACAAAAAATAGTTAAACATCTAAATAAAAATAACATTAAAATTATTTTATAAAAATAAATATATATTCTTTAAAAAATTTTAATTTTCAAAAACGCAAAGAGATCTTCATCATTATGTTGAATCATTTACAATTGGGATTAATACTATCGATCTTGCTCATATGCGGAGATATAAGTGAAGCAGCATTGAATTCGGGGTATGTGGATCATGGCGACACGAAAGGTAAGTCGTCTTCTATCACTTCCTCACAGGCTGAGAAAGCAGATTTTTAATCAATTGCTATTACATTTTATCAGTTAAGTTGAAAAAGTGTTAAGCCCAATCATAAAAATAATATTAAACGTTAGTACTTCAGTACAAATCAGTATTTTTCAGTTTAATTTATACAAAAATCAAATAATTATTATTTTTGTTAACATTTTTTTGGTTGAAAACCCTGGTAAAATCAAGCCTACGAAGCCCCCCTTTTATATCTCAGGAATTATAAAGCTAAAGCTAGTCCAACTTACTTTTTGAAGCTGGGAAGCTCTTATCTTTTGCGAGTTGCGCGCCGTGCCGCACTTCTATTAGACTCTGGCTTAAGGTAAAAAGAAGCACGTTTAGGGAAATACATATCAGAACACAGCGTTAAAGCAATTCGGTTAAATAATCCGTCATTGAACACATTCGCGCTGTTTCCCAACAGAAGTCGAAGACATTACTTTTATTTTTCAAAAGAACTGTGCTATTTTGACCAACAAGCTTGGTTTTTGTTTTTTTGTGTAAGGCTATTATTCTGGGATTTATGGGGAAGCAAGCATGCCTAGATGCAAGTATACATCACATGCTTGTTTTGTATCGTGGTTTGTGCTTTACAATCTTTTTTAGCTTGATGATAAGCTCCACAGAAAAGTCATAAGATGAAATTTAGCTATTTTTGGTTGGAAATTTGTGAGCTACTCTCACGCCTTTGTTAACAATTACCCAAAAAGAGGGCCAAGTGTCTTCCATGTCAAAATTCCCTGATCGGAAACGAGCTCCCTTTGAGAGAACGTCTGTACACACTTTTCACAAGCCTACCATATCGGTTTGGTTGAATTTTATTGTAAGTAACATGTAGTGAATTTTTGTGACAATTGTCTTGTCTGTCTGCTTTTGTAATCATCTATAAATTATAACCTCTCGGAAACGCTGTAGTGTAGTTTGATAGACTTAGCATTTTCCTAGTTAGGCACATCTAAAACAATCTATTAGATCAACGTAGTGAACTTCTCCCTCAACCTATTGAAATTGTATTTGCTTTTCCATTAGCAGATGTTTCTAAATAGTAACTCCAGTACGTATTTACTGCATTTTGAATAAGATTTAAAAAAAAAAAGAAAGGTATAAAGCGAACACAAACAAAATAAATCCATCGTCTCAATTTCAACCACCATGAAATGTATGAGAAAATCCGTAATTAGCTGTACTCGAAATAATTCCCAAATAAAAGAAAATTCTAAACTCTCACCGTGATTGAATCATGCCACGCGATCATGATGGTAAAAGGCGATGCACGAACTTAATGGCGAAATGCGTTAAGTCTTGCGATATAAGTTAACTTAAATTTTTTTTCCTTTTTTGCCAAATAATGACATACTTTAGGAATCCGTACTTTTTTATTTGTTTTATTTTGATTTGATGATGTACCGTCTGCTGTTTCGAAACTCAGAGGCAAGAAAATTGAGATAAGATGTTTTTCCTGGGCGGTTCTGGTTCACTTCTAGACAAAAAAGAGATATACTCTTCCTAGGTCAGTTCGCGAATTTCGGCGATTAGCATTAAAAACTCGCTTATTTTAGGTTATGTTGAAATTTTTTCCTTTATCCTTCTGCTTGGTTGCTGAAGCAGCACACACACGAAAACCATTTATAAGAAATCTCATATTTCCCTCAAAATTCAACAACTTTATGTTAAGCCAAGATCAGTTGATAAGCTTTTATCCCTTTACCCGATGATTTACGCTATTTAAATAACAAATAAATTCAGTCATACAATGCTCTTAGTAACGATCTATAAAACGTAAGAACCGAAAAGAAGATTATTCCTACGCCAAACGGCTCCTAGCGCCTTCAATTTATCGATCGGTCACTCTTCTGGGAAACTGTCCATTTCTCCGTTTCTGTCACTAGTTTGAGTTAGAAAACTTGTCTTGAAGATGATGACTCGAAGATGTGTTCTTTTAAGATTAAAATGATTAAATGAATGGACTCGGGCCGTGCTAGGTTGCTAACTTCAATATTATCTTCAAAGAGGCAATAAACTTTGGATTGGAAAATGTGCCGATTATTGGCCGACGACCAGGCAACAACAATCGATGGCCAGTATGCTTGCGAATAAAGGAATGTCAGCTTTTCGAATCGCAATCACAAGAGCCCAACGTAGCGTGTCACACGGTCGCCGGAAGCATGGGGTTGTACTGCCAAAGAAAAAATTCTCTCATTTTCGAATTACGTTTACAAAAGGAAAGGTCTGTCTTATCGCTTAAACGGCGAAAGTAGCGGGAAATTAACAGCAAATTTTCGGGGCGAGGACGATATATTGACTGAAAAGGTTTAAAAATTCCGCCGTAACCTAGGCTTATGTGAAATGTGCTGCACCAATACCAAGAAAAAGTAATATTTCTTACGTCCTCCATCGTTATTTGGTTTATTATAGGCGGCTTCCCCTAGGCCAGTAACGTTGTTTACACGAATTTCTTTGCAATTTGTCTAATTTAACATTGCATGTGATTTCCAGTTATTCTTGACACTCAAAAACCCTTAGATCTCGTTTTCGCCCCAGTGAAGATATAAAACAGAATCGAATAAGGTTTGCGAAGGCTATTCAGGAAATCAATTGTAGCAATGATTTCGGAAGTGTGACACGTTTTGGCTTAAGCAGGTTCTGTTTGAAACGATTTGGTTTAAACGGGGTGAAGTAAAATTTGGAGGAGTGATATGATATTTAAGTTTTTTGTTAAAGAAGATTCACTATCTCTTGGATCATGGTGTAAAATTATTGGCCATTTCTGGAACGTGGGAAGGGACTAATAACTTAAAAAAGACCGAGGCTCCATAATTTGTAAAATTTTTGATGTATCAAATTATTTCGTCAAATTTGAAGCAGTAATTTTATGAAATAACATTTCCCATGTTAATCCGTTTTTCCTTTAACTGTTTTCCTGTACCATCGAATAAAAAGGACATTAAACCTTTGCGAACGGTATTCACATTAATAGTTTAAAAGTAAAAACACTAAAATGCACAATCGCTCTTTGGTCTTCCCTCTCGCCATCTCTTTGTCCGTTTGCGTCTGCATTCTGTACTCTGTATCTACGGTCTTTAGCAAACAACATTAATTGAAGAAAATGTTTTTGAAGAAATTTCAAAGATTTGTTTGAAAGCTGCTGCTGTTATTGATGATGTTGTTGCAAAGGATCTTCACCTGATCTCAGGTAAAAAGGCACATTTTTGGTGGTGAATTTCATTTTGTACAGTGTGTGGGCAGGTATGGTCTGATATTCATGGTTCTTATTATGCTTGTTGTTTGGCTTTTTTTTCTTTTTTTTTTTTTTCTCAAACACTTTACTACTACAACTACTACTACTACTATTACCAATATTCAACTGTTTGGCAAGCCTGGGAATTTATATGTTTAAAACCTGTTTGGGAAAAACAATAATTCACACATCCACACAGTCGCAAGCGCGCAGACTTACAGAGGGGGAAGTGTATAAAACAAAAAAATAAAAATAAAAAATATAAATCATGCCGTTTAGATCTCATATAATAGGAAGAGCCGTGTGTTTGTAAGCGAGTTTTGTGAATTAAAAAAAAAAAAAGTAAAAACAAAGAACAGATGTACAAAACTGCATATATTATGTGTGCTGGGATTTTTTTTTTTTTTTGCTTATATGGAATATATGTTATGTACAGTAAGAAAGAAAGGCCGAGAAAGAGAAGCTGGGAGAGGAGTCTTAATTAATTGCCATAAATTATATAATAGTACAGGTGAGGGTGCTGGAGGAAAGAAGAGACAAATCATCCAATGTTCTATCAAACTTAGCCACTAATTGTTTAATATTCGCCATACATATATAGGCACGCAATATATTTACTCTACGCAAAAGATTAATAATGATAAGCTGTTGCTGAGTAGCAGTTAAAAATAAATGGATGCATTTTTTTTTTTTGTAATAATTTTTAATAATGTATGGAAAAAAATCTGTTTATTTTGGAAGAAATTTTCAGATTTAATACACTTTGATTGTGTAATAGTTTTCGTATCACATTGCAAATCTTATTTTCTTTGTTACTCTTAATTTTCTTTGTCACAGGTACGTGCTTATCATAAGTAATTTAAAAAAAAAAGAAATAATATTATTATAAAAAACAGGCAATAAAAGATAAGGTACGATAAAGATTTGAAATGTTAGTCATTTGTTTTTGTTTTATACGAAAAAAAGAAGGAAAAAAAATGAATTTTATTGAAGTTGTAGGGAGAGAGCACCTCTCTCTATTTAAATGTATAACAATTATTAAGTTTATTAAGTGCTATAAGTCGCTTCAAGTTCTACAGCAAACAAAACATGAGAGAAGCAGACAGAACATCAGGTCAATTGATGACTTAGTTCCGAAAGGCGTATGTGCTGTTGCAAGTGGCATTGTAAACTTTAATGCATTTTATTGACGACGGTGATGTATAAATTGATTTTAGGCAACTTGTGAAAGCCACAATGGTAGCAACCAATTTTATGGTCTTTCACTCCAATAAAATTCAGGTAAGGATGGCCTCGTTTCTCATGAGTAGCCGAATAGGTAGAAATCGTGACTACCAAAGCAGTGTTCAAGGGATCAAACGTTAAGCGCGGTAGCGTTTTTTTGGTCTATAAACTGCGCTCAGTTATGAATAACTGTTGTAGTTGCACATGTATTGCTGCATTCTTCCATCCGTCTCTACCTGGAACCCTTCCTAACTACCGTCGTGTCTGAACGTAACGAGAACATCGCTTCAGTGGCTGATTATATATATAGTGGTAAATATATAGAAACAGTAGTGAATAAGGAATAACAGATGACGTAAGCGAAGTCCGCCTTATGATTTGGTTTTTGGATTTTTAAAATTTTATCGCCGCCGATCTATTCAAACGTTGCATCGAAAAAAGAAAAATCAAGGCCAAATTTTTTTCAAACTCAGGTGGGAGAGTTTTTTTTTAATGCCTA